CGTTTGCCGGTCCTCCATCGCGAACCGACCGAGTGAAAAACGCGCAGATCCCTTCCATACCAGCAGAGACCGGTCGCGTTCGAGATTCCACGGATGGATCCGTGGAAGGATGTTCGGTAAACCCCCTTGGCTCGGCCATCCGACGCGGCCTGGATCGTTGCTGGTATTGGATGGTGGGGGTAGATCGGCACGTTGTGGGTCGGGAGACGCGAGACACGGATACTTAGAAGGGTCAGGCTGTCGGGAGGGTTAGTTATGCAGAGCTGGATGCCAGGTTTTAGGCGCCCCAAGCTAATTTCCCCGTCCGTGGCGGCCATTAGGTTAGAGGCTGGCCTGGTTCGGCTTATCAATCGCGAGCTTGCTCGATGGGAAAAAAATTGAATGCAGAGCTTCACGCCCGGGGTACGAGGAGTTTTCGTGAGGATTACCGGGATATTCCGGGTAACTCGATCAATGGATGTCTTCCTTTTCCCTTTCTGACCGCTGGGTATCGATATAGGGTGACTCCTTTCGGACTTTTGTTTATGAAGCCGCACGTGCGTCCGAAGGGTTTGTTATATTTATTCTTTTATTTATCGAGAGCGCGCCGCTTTCGGGGGTCTGGCAGCTTTTATTCCTCGCGGGGTGGAATTCTCGTTTTATATTTCGGGCTTGGCAGAGAGAGATAGATCAACATTCGGAATGAAGCATTGGCAGGTGCTTCTGTTTAGGTGTTGCGTAATGGTTGTTGCATTGACGATGAGTACGGGTGTAAATTTTGCTCGTTAATTTAGATTCTGGTTATTAATATTGGTTCTCGACTTTGGATAGATATTAATTGTTAATATTAGTTAGGTGTCTGTGATCGAATAGCATTTTAGATGTTTTTTGGTATAATAATGAAGGATTTATCTAAATTTGGTTGTTTTTAAATCAATTTTTAAATTAGCGTAGATCAATATTGATTGAAAAATAAGTATAGTTGTAATGGAAGCAGGAGTTTAGGTGTAAATTTTGTTCGTCAGTTTAGATATTGGTTATTAATATTGGCTCTCGATTTTGAGTAGGTATTAATTATTAATATTTGTTGGGTGCCGGTGATCAGATAGCATTTTAGTAATATGGGAATTATCTAAATTCAGTTGCTGTTAAGTCAGCCTTTAAATAAGCGTGAGTTAATATTGATTGAAAAATAGGAATAGTTGTAGTGATGACAGAAATACAGAAGTAAATTTTGTTTGTTAATTTAGATATTGGTTATTAATATTTGTTCTTGATATTGGATAGGTATTAATTACCAATATTAGTTAAGCTCGTGTGATTGGATAGCATGTTAGGGGTTCCTTGGTATAAGAATATGGAAGATATTTAAATTTAATTATTTTTAAGTAAATTTTTAAATAAGCGAAGTTTTTGATTAGGGAAAATATCTGATTAGTATAGATAAACATTCTTTATTATTTATCCAGATAATTATACTTTATCGTGTCTCAAAAAGAATGTTGCGTATTCATAATGATTCATTTGTAATATTAATCCATATGTATTAAAATATTAAAAAATGGTTTCTACCAATATGTTTGTAACTTCTCATAATAAAGGGTTAAATCGTCGATTAAATAGAGGAAAATATTTATGGATTGCAATCATTTTGGTTTATTAATAATTTTCAGTACTTGTACGTATTAATAAATACCAGAAGAATTACAATAATTTAAACATTTCAAATCTTAAAAAATCTGTGATTCATTTAATTTGTGTCTTAAATCTATAAATTAAAAATAAAATTAGTATCATTTTTTTATAATCTAATATAGCAAATAACACATTCCAGCATTGCCAACAAATTCTTCTTGCAATTACTATGCGCAAATTAAATTCTTTCAATTATTTTTCTATCACAAAATTAGCTAATTATTTTGCTCACATTTCTTTACATTTATGCAACAATAATAATAATTAAACAATAATAAATCAGTAGTTAATCTAACAATAGTTAATCAATTATTCTTTAACATCCACAAAATATAGTTTGTAACAAATTGTAGCAAAGTAAACATACTTGGCACCCAATTTAGTTACTTTTCCTTTTACTCGCTTCAGCCAGCGTCTTTCCATCATCGACTCGATTCCTTTTATTTCAGGACACCCTGTAAATCAAAATAGGCCACCCTACGCGACCGCGACGATCGAGAAAATGTAACGAAGGTTTGACGTATGAAGGAAGTATCAAAGCCGAAGAGAAACAAGCAAGCATTAAAGTTTCTTTCGCAGCTCTATACTGAAAACAACTGTTTGCATTTTTATTTGAAAATTCATCGTATTTCCTTTCGTTATTCATCCCTCTGTTGCCTCTGTGTGCCTGAACGACAATGGATGAAACCATTGTAACCCGATGATCTTCGCGAAGATAAATTCATTTTATCGTGTTGTTCGCTAAATAAATTACTATAATAGAAAGGATATACGTCGAATACATCACTGAAAGACAGGGGAAGGGTGCGCGCGTGTCTCCTGCTGTTCCAAATTTTTCAGACGTTCCAAAGAATGATTCCATTATTTCGAGCAAACTGATTCACGAGCTGCACGATAACGATATTTTTCATATCCAATGTTCTAATATTTTCCTTTTATTTTTCCCGCGCTTCGTGGCCCCCGACAAGTGGCATCCGTTTCCTTCGTCGACAGGAAATCTTGAAAAATACGTGACTACAGGGGGCTGTACAGGGCTTGCACGAGGATGTAAGTCATAGGTAACGTAACTGGAATGCCTGGTAGAAATTGTGCTATGTACGACTTTAGTTCCACTTTCGACGTGTCATTCTCAAATTTGTAATTTCATTATAACTTTACATTATTCCAAGTTTTACTGTTCATTATCGTTCGTGTTTTATTTTCTATCATGCTAATTAATTTTATCACGTTGCTTAATCGTATTGCTCGAGTGTGTGACGTTATTTCTAATAGGGATGTGACGTCAATTTCTGTATGAATTTAAATATTGTAAAATACAAATATATATATATAAAAGCAGAAGATATATTAAATTTTTAATATACAAGGGCGTGGAAATTTATATGTCAAATATAATAGTTTGTTTTGCTTGGCACTTCAAATATCATAGATTTTTAATAATAATTACTTGTATATATACATATACGAATATACTGTATAATTTTCCATTGTGGTTTGAAAAATTAAATTTTTGAAGCTCTAGATTTGATTAATACTGACTATATTATCGTGAAATTTATTTAAAATTAATAATATTTAGGTCCATTTGTAATTAAAAGTACAAATATTTTGGTAAATGTAGCTGAAATTTGATGACATGTGTCGAAATATAGTTTTGGGTGATTATTGTATTTTGCAGCCATCTTGATGTTTCAGAGCTTGAGTTATAATAGGTTAAAGCGTCAATTTAAAACGCATGGAACATCTTCCTCTAAAGCCCAAAGCAGCAGAAATCCCCGCAGACTAAATATTCACAATCTGTATTCCCTCATACATGAGCCGACGCGTTGATCTTCGCGATACTAACGTTTCACCATAAAAATCCCTCTTCGCACTTTCCTATGCATAATTCAACTAAAAATGCCTATTGCCAGAGGTGGGATCAGATATATCCCATGGAACATCGATTTGAGTATTTTTAGCAGTATTGCATAAAATAGGAAGCCTATTTATACCTAAAATTAAAATTCAACCATGCGTCAGATCATGTTTTAGGTTAGGTACGTCAGAAGAAGCGTCGTAACCTTATCGTTAAATAACTCGAACTGTCAGCAGAATTTTCAAATAATATAGACATTTGCCAATTTTCAATTTACCTTCTAATTCAACTACCAAAAAAATTTATTCCAATAAGTAACGCAAAATTCGTATTTTTATAAAGAAATATACATATCAAAATTCTGGTTCTGAGGTATCGCGAGGATTAAAATATGAACAAATTTTTCTATAAAATTCTATGTTATAAAGTCGAAATAAAGTTTCAAAATATTGCGACAGTGGTGATATGGAGTATTCTGTATTTAGAGTTACAGCAGTAGATTCAGTATCCATCATCCATCTACAGGGTACAATATACAGTACAGTATGGTTCAGATTACTCTACTATCCAGGTTTTATTTTCTCATTTTACAAATTTCTGTGTCGAATTTCGTTCAGCAAACAATATAAAAAAAAGAGGAAGATATACATATATGTACATGTATATGTTTCATCAGTATCAATCACCAATTATTTGATTCAAAACTTCAATTATTCCTAAAATATTACTAAAATATAACCGAATTTATCTGAACCTGTCATGAGACAATGTATATATATATATGTAATATGTACATGTATATTTCTCGTCGAGAATAATTAACAGTACATCAATGATCCCTCAAGAATAATTGAATATAAACGTTCAATTAATTTAATTTCAATGTATCGGAACCTGTCTTAGTATATGTATATGTATATGTATATGTATTCACATGTACATTTTTCTTCAACTACAATCAAGAATAAGAAGATAAGGAAAATGTCCGTTGAGTTATCAAGCTGTCATAAAATATTTATATCTGGAAGTAGAGAAATTCGCGAAGAGAAGTTGGTTCAATCGTAGACGTAGGAAAATTTCGTTGCAATGAACGATTTCCGTCGGATCAGCCCCTCGAAGTCACGCACATTTAACTACCCAACTGCCCTAAAAATGACACGGTCCACCGTCCCACCAGGAGCAGAGCGCCACCCCATCGCGGGACGAAGAAGCCGGGGCGAAGCAAAGCGAGCGAAAGGAAAGAAGGAACAGCCGGTCCCAATCACGCTGCAACGTCGTGCATCGATTCACCGCCGATTCCCGTGGCCGGTCGTATTGAACTTGATCCCATTTCTCGCAGCCCAATTAGCCCACATATAGATCCGCCCATGCCATGCCGTGTGGGGTGGCTCTCAGCGGGAGCGTGCGCAGTGACAGGTGAGCGCAGCTTCTGGGGTTGGAGAAAAGGCAGAGCAGAGGAGGCAGCCCGTGAACCCGTGGCGATGCGTCGGGTAGGCACGTCGCGACCCCCGACGCCGAAACATCCACCGACCATGTCGGGTGCCGGTAGCGGGCCACCAGTCTCGACGTTCACGTTCGTACAACGGCCGTCCTCTTGCTGGTCACCTGGCCCGACCTCGATCCTCGCCGATGCAACTCGACCAACGATCGCCGCTTAAATCGGTCACCTGCACGAGCCGTACTCGGTGACACGCTCAGTTCGCGCCAGCAGCCGTCGTCGACGTCGTATCCTCGGGTATCCGTGGCTGAGGGAATATATATTTAGAGAGGCGACACTGGAGGGGGTCTGAGAATCTGGAGCACGAACAGGTGGTGCGGCGTCAGTCGAGCACCGGGGAAGACAGATATATCGGGGAGAAGTAACAGGTACTGTGCGACGGAATCTGTTTCTTTCTATCTCTTTCCTCCATTTCTCCTTTTCTTTTCTCTTTTTTCGGGGGCTTTCTTGGTGTTCTCCATGGACGCGATTCGGTAGCCAGGTAACTGCCGTTTTGAGACCCGTTCGGTGTGCACGGTGCGGTTCGAAAGGCGTGAGTCGCGCGCGATTAGCTCCGCTAGGTATCGCTCACAGCAGCGAGCGCCTCTTCCGTTTGACGCGGTCGCGTTACGCCGGAGTGGAGTGGTTGTCGCTGCGTGATTATTCCAGATGAATGGTATGCAGAAAAAGGAAGCGGTTGCTTTGACGTGGTCGTCGCTGCGTCGCCGGATGTTACGTCGCGTTGTTTTACAAACTTTCTCTACGTCCTCGCAGGGGTAGCCGATGATGCTTCACTTTATGCGTTCATCCAGCGTATCACCTGGCGTTTCAGCATACGGGGTATCTTGAGACCGAGTTATTTGGAATTTATTACGCGTGTGGGGTAGGCTCATTTTGTCGCCTCAGTTGGATGCTTTTGAGGTTATAGCAGAAAATGAGTATGAGCTAATTTGAGGTGGTTTGATATATTTATTTTTGAGGTTAGATAAAGATTGAGCAATTTGGAACCTATTTGCTTCCTTCCATAAATTGGATACTTTTTCAGCCTATTTCATATACATATCTTTGATGTTGGACAAAGATTGAGTTACTTGAAATTTATTACACGAGTGGGTTAGGTTCATTTTGTTGCGTAAGTTGGATATTTTTGAGGTTATAGTAGAAGATGAGTATGAGCTAATTTGAGATGGTTTGATATATTTATTTTTGAGGTCAGATAAAGATTAAGCTACTTGGAATATATTACGTGTATGGATTAGGTTTACTTTTTTCGCATGAGTTGGATGCTTTTGAGCCTATTTAATATACTTATTTTTGACGTTGAATATAGATTGAGCAATTTGGAATTTATTACATGTGTACGTTATATATACTTTTTCGCATAAGTTGGATATTTTTGAGGTTATTTAATATATTTATTCTTGATGTTGGATAAATATTGAGAAATTTGAAATTTATTACATATATAGGTTAGGTTCACTTTGTCACGTAAGTTGCATACCTTTGAGGTTACAGAAGAAGATGAGTTTGAGCTAATTTCAGGTTATTTGATAAATTTATTTTTGACGTTACTAAGAAATGCTGTATTTCATAATAATTTGACACAGAAACTATAAAATTGGCCAAAATGAATCCTAAAATAGGTTTCTGATTGTCTATTTTTGTAATTATTCGAAAGATATAATAGCTATTAGTAAAATTAATATTGACGTTTATCGAGAGAGAAACGTAATTATATAATACCCAATCATTTTCATCGTGATACTATAATTATCGATATTAATATATAGAATATTTAAATTCACTTTAGAAATTAGTAATCTAGTGTTAAATATTCATAAAGAAATTTAAGATGGAAGATTCGAATTTAGTCTAGTAATTTTATACTTTTAGTATTTTAATACTAATTACTTTATTTTTGAGCTTCCTTGTGATTGGTTATTTCGAGATTCGAGATTCATTTAAATAAAGCTTTCGCTGTTCTCTTATTCTTCGGTGAACAGACTTTCTTCTTATCATTGCAGAAAAAACTAGTGTAAAGAATCTTTAAACACATTTTAATGTAATTTATCGACGTGAAATAATTTGTCGACAAGAAATTTTTCTTTTGGAAAATTTTTGCCATAATTTCACTCTTCTCTTATCTTATTTTTGCGACGGAAACGTTTGCTACTTTTATTCCGCATCTGCTTAAAATTAATTATAGCATCGTCGATTTCAAGTAGAATTAAAAGTATCTAAAAATGTTCTCGTAGAAATTTGAATGGATGAATGAAAACAGAAACACGCGTAGCGAAAATTATTCAGTGTCAACTGTATCACTTGCACAATGTATACACGTACTATTTTGTTTGTTTTTCGAATGTGAGATGCAATTTTCATGTACACGTATACAGAGTGATTCTGGCAACTGGACCAGATATAGCTCTATTCTAACTGAAGTTAGGAACAAATCGCAGAGGAAAATTTTCCACAGTTCAACAAGCTCTGTCATCCTATGACACAACTTTTCTACTCGTCATTCTGCAAAAACAGCTTGTAAAATGTAATTGCAAATTCCCCCCCCCCCCCCCCCCAGCATATAATCATTCGTGTCATTATCTGAATGAAAGATGAAAAATAATTCCAATTTCAAAGGATATTTCATTTTCTCTGGGAATACATACCATAAAATTATACTAAACATTCTTATTTATATTAAATAAAATTACTGAAAACTTCGTGACATTTAATTTAATTTAATTAATTAATTCATTTTTCGAAATTTATGGTAAATAAGTAATACAAACATTTTAATTTACGTAATGTCAGGTTATTGAAAGTATTTCATTTTGTCCTTTTTTCAAATTTACATCAGAGAAATGCTGTCAATATTTTTATACGTTTTCCCTGTCAAATATGAGCACCTAGAGATTTTGCATTAATAAAGAAATAAATATGTTTCACTGAAAATTATTATTCTAATATTCACGCGTATCTATACATTCGTAATTAAAAGAAATTCGTAAGGTTTCTGAACCTATAGTGCTTGTCAACACTTTTCTATCATATTTTCTGTATTTCTTCTCCAGTGATTCAACCCTGTTTTCTATATCGGACCTCCTGTCGGTATTTTTACCATCTACAGCTCAATTTTCTTCTTCGATGCCATTCGATACCGTGTATTAGCTGTTTCTCCTTCCCAAGGACGTACACTTGATTTGTCGTTCACCGTGGAGTCGAAAGGTTCGAATTATGCGGGCGTGAGGATTACCTTTTATCGCTCTCGGTGGTCTTCGTACTGTTCCTCTTATTGCTTCGACCATTTCAGTTCGTTTCAAGCGAATTTCCTCGATTTATATCGAGGAACCTTTGACACGACCTTTTACCCGCAACGATCGTTAAGCGCTTAATTTCTAGCTATTTTGACGTAACTTCTCACGTTCTCCAGTCGATTAAACTTCTGTTTCTTCTTTTCACCGTGCACATGGCTATACACAACATTGTGAATTCGTTTCGTTGGTTACTACTCGAGATACTTGCTTATTTAAGGAACTTTGTGAACTTGAAAATTCAGTTTAAAAAATTAAAGGAGGTCTTTATTTTTAATATTTCGAGCGAATTGAGTGGCAACAGAAAATGGTGGATAATATGTTAAATGTTAGGTAAATAATTAATATTGGTTAATAATATTTAGTAATATTTTAGTAGAATAAAGGATGTAGTATTCTAGTAATATTTTAATGTTTAATAGTTATGATTAATAATTATAATAGCTGACTAATATTGTTTATTAAATAATTAATGAAGCACAGAAATGGTGTGGTTTTTAGGTAGTGTCAGAATTAACAATTATTGTTATAAAAATAATTTTAATTATATATACAGGTTAACTTATTTATTATTTTAATGTAAATTGATTTTTTGTATGATTTATCATAAAAATAAGTATTTAATGTTTGTCAGTTTTGCATTTTTGCATTTTTGCATTCTATGGAAAATTGTACGAAGGTACGTGAAAATATTGAAAACAGCATAATAACGTCTTTTACAATTATTTTTTAACTTACAATAGGTGTAAGAATATTAATTTAATTTAATTTATTTATTACAAATTTTTATTCCATTACGATCTTTCCAATTTTGATTAAATTTTCAATTAATTCCAATTTTTTGATATTCAGTATTCAGTATTATAATCAATATTAAATACATTCTTTAAATAATTTTCGCAATTTATATTATAATAATTATTATTCATCGTGCAAAATAGTTTCTCCCCATAAACTCTCATATAGGATGTTGTATATACTAATTTCCCTAGCATGTATGGAAATACGAAATGGGGGTGATTGGATGTCAATATTTCAGGGCATGTAATACAACGTTATCCATATACACGTATTATTCAGGTTTTCTTTATCGAGTTACAAAGAACCGTGGAAGATGATCGATACAAGACACGTTGAACGAATATCTGCCATTTCAATATAAATATATCTAACTGTGTACATCGTTGCTCCTAACATTTCTTCGAAAACATGATCAGCAATAGTCTCGAGAAATGGAAAATATGAGATTGGAAATCTGAAATAATTTATTCTACTGCAGTAGAGAAACATAGTTAAACACATTCCAAAAATTCTGCTTTAACATACATTATACACATTTTTATTTCACATACACCAAAATAAACAGTCCATGTTTAAACAATATTCTTCCTAACTACATTTAAAAAACATTTACTCTACAGATAAAATCCATTATTTACTATACCATAGATAGTGTGCACGTTCTTATTCTACATCAAGGAATTACTAAAATAACCACTGTACGTTCAAATAACCCTCTTTATTAATTAAACAAATTTAATATATTTCAAGTGACAGTATTTTTTAAAAGCCTGGCATATTTAAAAAATTTTGCTCTCCATGTATCGAATAAAAATTGAACGATGTCAATATCTGCAAAGTGCACATCTGAAGCACACAAGTCCTAAACGTATGAAGACATCTGTTCACAATTAATCACTTCGAGGAGCTCTTGTCTGACATCTCAGGTATAATCACAACGTGTTTCTTCTTCGCCAAGTGTTTCGCACCTTGCCATAACTCTTCGTTGCAAATCGAGAGCGATGCTCCATTAGAATCGACCACTGATTGGCCATTGTCCACCATGATAATCTGATAGGGTATTTCCGGTGATCAGGTTCTCATTGTCCCAATATCCCCGAACTTCTGCTCTTTCGAGATATTCCAGGTGAGATGCCTTCCTTTTCGAGTGTTTCCTTTAACCTCGGGTGTCACTGAGTAAACGATGTTTTATTTAAACTACGGAAGAACCTCCATTGTTCGGAGAGCTACCACTATTCCGTTGTCCAAACGTTCCATTATCCCAACGGTGTACTCCCTTCGTTACTACAGTATGAAATGAGCATTATACGCTTCAACGACTTGCTTGTAATGGCGTCGAGGAGGGAACATGTGATATTGGCTGTCGAAACGAAGCAAGAGGTACCTTAGAAGCTAGAAAATGCCCACAACGTTCGGAAAGTTGAAGTTCGTGAAGTTTTAAGGCACACTTGTACCTCGAAGGTTTTATGGTATCAGAAAAAGAATTCTTAGGGGGATCCCTATAGGTAGAATGTACTATCTATTTACCTACCTATAGGTAGAATGTACTTTTATGTTTATGATAGGTTAGAAATGATCGTTTACAGATACTGTCGCTACTTTTATATTTTCAGCAAGAATATTCAGCTCCCAACAGTATTTTTAGTTTAATATTTAGATATTGTCTATGCAGTGTATATTTTCAGTAAAAACATTCAGTTTCAGTTCAAGTTTTTAGTTTTTAATTCAGTAGAATATGTGGATACGAGTTGTCATATGGTATACACGAAGTATATTTCGAATACGAATATTCCATATTTATATGCTTTGCAATATGGGTATTTTATTGTACGTGCAATTTGACATTTGTATTTTCAAAGAGAATATTCAGCCACGAAATTGCTATGAAATTGATGATTAAGAATTTAAATACATTCTTCTTGCTAGTTATCATAACCTCATTTTCGTATTTCGTTCGTATTCATTATTTTACTTTGTATTGTTCTATTCTGGATACGTTTATTCTCATAAATTTATTTATTTTGCTTCAAAAATATTACTTGATTTCCAATCTCCTGTAGCATCATCGTGTTCACGATGCTTTAAAACGCATGCAGAAACCATCAAGTGGATTAAAAACCACAAAGACAAACATGATGTTCCCAATAAAGAGAAAGGAAAGAGAAAATGGAGAGGAAAGAGTAATAGAATTTCTAATTTTTAGCATTCTATATTAACTTTTATGTGTTACCAAATTAATATGGTCAGTTCCAAATGTGAGGAATGGCGGTGCGACGTATATAAGTCCGCAACGCCATCTAGGAGCGCTGCGTACTTACTGTCGACGGATTAATATCTGGTTTAAAGCGAGTTTCTTCGATGAAACGGAAAATAAAATGTTGCACCACGCGTCGACAGAGAAAAATAATGATGGCTGCTTAATGAAATTCCACGAATCAAAGGAACGCGAGCTTGTAGATTTTCTGGTATATAAATGAATATTTCGATGAATAAAAATCCGTTAATCCTCCTGTAACTCTCTCGAAATGTTCCAATATGGTTGGCTAATTTCCAAGCGGAGGGGGAATACGGAATATTCCACCGAATCTGACAAACAACGCAATAAATACTCTCGTACTCGAACCATTCATTTCGCTTTATAGGTAACTGTTGCTGAAAAATAATTAAATGGAGTCAATTAGAAAACGCTTCGTATATTAAAAAACGCTGTCGATATTCAGATTCACTTTTGCAATTTTTGATGCTGCTAATATATACTGATTAAAATTTTCAACTTTTTGATATAATTAAAAATATAAAAATCATAATTATATAACAATAAACAGGAATTTTTGTTAGCTAGAAAATTTTCAGCTTTGCAATTTTTATTATTATAATATTCCTTTCTATCGTTATATTTATTATTATTTATATTTTTTTTTTTATTATTATTTATATTTTTATATATTTTGTATATAAGAATTTTTATTGTTACACTTAGTTGCAAGTAGATACCATTATTATACTGTTCAATTTTCATAAATATTGTCTACCTTTTCTACTGATATTAATGATACTCAAATGCCATTACTAAAACTATTCGAATCCTAGAGAATTGCAGCGGTACTGAAATTATGCTCCGTAGTGGGGTTGCAATTAATTAATCCTAGCTTTTCGTTAGTATTTCATAGCGATACAGTAATAGAGGAGGTGAAAATGGAAATAATAGAAAGAAAATTGCTAATCATCAAAGTATTGGAAAATAAAGGTGAAATTTTTCTTTATTTTGCAATGATCGAAAGGAATATAAAAATTTAACGTGGAATCATTGATATATTTAATATTCCATATTCCCGAATTACGAAATTATTTCGCGATATTGCTACGCCATTGGACGAATCTCTACGAATCTTGCAAATGCGTTGTTATTATTAAACAATAAATTACACGAAGTGTTTCATTTCAAAATGAAATGCAGCAATCGAGTAACATTTTTACACAGTAAATATTTACATTGAAAATTCTTCTGCATTTGCAATGATGATGAATGAAATTCATTACTTCGTTAATTACAATTTTTCTGAACATTGCACCAAATATTTCTTTCTGCAGTAAAATTCGTCCGAATCTTGAAAATTTTGAAAATTTTTACAGTTCTAAGAGAACAGTAATTGTTTCAATAATTTTTCTGTGACTCGCTGTACATACAAGGTGTCCAAAAAGTAGAGAGGCAGCGAATTTTGTTAGCAACCAGTAGGCTAAGCCACGCAAGCTGTTGGTAATCGCAGAAATTGAGCAGTTTCTTCTTTCTTATGCACTCGTTTAGAATCGTGGTAGGACGTTGCTGAAGAGGCTGAAGAAATTGGAGTTCCTAAGATACCCACGCCACGACAAAACGACCGTGCGCAACATCACGGTGGCACGGTGCTATTTTCTACGCCATTGCATCCTATACAAGGTATTCTGGACAATCAATATTTATTGCTGGGATCGTCGAAAGGAAGCATCCTTTGCCAACGACCTGTGATCATGCTCAGCCCAAAGATGCAAAGAACCGGTGAGTCGTTGAGTCAAGTTTCTCTACGTTTCCGACGTGATCAATTGTTCTATCAGTAGTATCATTTGAAAGTGATCTTCGGGTCTTAAAACTATTATAATATAATCGGCTAATTCCAAGAATAAAACTGACTTCGTGTTATTTAAAGAATTAATCAAATATAATTTTTGTAGGTACATTCATTGACAAAATTTTCTATTTGCAGAATTTTTGTATATTTTTGGTCTTCTGAGGTATATATATTAAAATTGAAAACAGGGTGAATAGATAATTTTTAATTTTATCCTAGATATGTATCTTGGTGGATAAAGAATATACAAAAGTTTGCAAATGTTTCTTCGTTTCTTGACTTTTGTTAGTAGATGCAGTTTAATTTTTAGTGCATATTTTGTTAGTATAAATATTTTAATCACAGTGAGCTCATGCCTATTTGTTAATATTACTGTTCAATTTATTGTTACATACCCAAAATGGTTATGGTAGAAAAAATAGAGTATTTTTAAAATTTGAAAGCTAGTTAAAATATAATTTGAAGTAAATGAGATATAAGTATAAAAATTTGTTAAATCTCATGATTTTTAATATATGTACAAGCATCGTATTAAGATAATATTAGGCAAAAATTTTAATCATTTTATTTAAAAATATAAAAGTTTTGTTAAATAATATGATATTTTTTATCATTCTAATCTACGATAAGTAATTTCCAAGAATTTAATGCTAATTATTGACTAATCTATTAACGATACGAATGACGATGAAAATAATGTAATAAAAATAATATACAAATTCTTATCCAGATTTTCTAACGCTTTCTTTGAACTCTGCTCTCATACAAGCTTTTTTAAATTCCCGGTAAATTTTTTTCCACGAAAAAGGTATCAGATGCAGCTCAAAGACCAAATTGAAAAATTTGTGTACAATTTTTTTCATAGACGTAACTCTTGACTCGTTCGACAAATATTCGAAATCAGGTTTTTGAAAATAAAAGTCTACACCGGGAGAGCTTAGTTTCACGGTTTTTATTTACCTTCTCGGAAATAAAAAAAAATAACTGGTTCGCTATTGCGCTTTCACACGAAATTACAGCCGTGCTGTACGCCAATGGAATGCTTTTCGTCTTTATCTGTCTATGGATTTAAAAAATTTGCCAAAAATTCTGGTCTACGAATCCGCAACCACGATGACAGAAATATGGTCGAGACTGTCCCTTTGTTTGCATTGGTCCTGCGTTTTTTCCAAAGGATGAATTATGTTTCGCCTTCAAACGGTCGAATCGTTTCACGGAATAATGGTTTCCCACGTTCGTTCACGAAAATTCCTTTTAGTACATGTAAACTATAATAAAGCTATGTAACAGAGGCAATAGCTTCGTCGCTTTCCTCTTTTGCTATTATTAATAATGGAATATTAAAAGAGAAAGAAAATTATGGGGATAAATTATTTGAAATGAAAGAAAGGGAATGATTTAAATTTAAAAAATTGTTTAAGCTGCTTAAAAAACTTGGGTTTTAAAAAATTAAAATTGTTGAAAGTTGTACAAAAATGTTTTCATTAGTGAATATTATTAAATAAAGAATTATTTTTTAAATTGTTATAATAAATAAGGAATTATTTTAAAAACTGTGAAAAAGGGGTGAACACTAATTATAATATTTATTTGGATAATTTGAAAGAAGAATTAGGTTTTGTATAGAAATGGAAAATTTTAAACGTAAGACTTGTATGTTTCCATATGTAATTTTAATACTAGAAGAAACGAAGAAAGTGAAAAATTACTATATATTTTGGAAAACTTATAAGCTAATGATTTATAGTAAATTTATTGCATCTTTTATTTAGTAATGCACATGCTAACAATGCATTCTACAGAAAGTAGATATACTGATGAAAAAAATTAAGCATATTTTTACATAGAAAATGAAAAGAAATTATTGGTATACAAAAACTTGGAAAAAAATTACTTAAGAAATAGTGAAGAAATTAATATTAACCAAGAAAGGAATGTTAGAATCCAAATTTGAAGGATAACGTATAAGAACAACGAATTTCGAATCATTTTCATTAAAAATAAATTTTCAATATTCTATTCCAATATTGAAAAACAATTATCTGTACTATTCATAATCTCAAATTTAATTAATACTTTAATTAAACATAAAAAGAATCACGTGTGCTTGAAAAAATCTCTAAAATGATCTTTCTATTTATCTTCCCCTTTTTCTCTTCACATGCACACACACGAGGTGCCAATTTTTTGAAACGAATCAGCAAAGAAATTAAAGGAAAATTTGTCGTTCGATATTTCGAACGAAATAATTCAACCAGGATCTGAAAACAACTTCTTGACAAATGGAGAAATATATATACCTGCACGATTGCCAAAAGTTGGCGAGAGTGATGGATCGTTCCAGTAGAAATCACATCTGGAGTCACACGGAGAAACTTTCACTTAACTTACAGCGTAATAGCGTAAGTTGAGGTCGGCTTGCGACAAATCCGCGAGCTTTTCAGATTTCAGTGGAAGAACCGAGCAGAGTCGAAAGTTCCTTAACTTTATTAACATTCAGACCTCAGGATTGCTTGCTGAAAGATTCACGAGTGGGTTATCGCTTTCAGATATCTCCCGTCGATTGCTTTCGTCGTTTTTGAGCTTGTTTAAACAGCGACGAGGCGACCAGGAGTTGTTTGATTCCGGATACAGCACGGCTCCTATTATCCGAGCAAATAACGGGAAAGCGAATATTAATTGGATTATTTAAATCAAACGAATTTTTAAAAAATTTTCAACTCTTTTCGTCAATTATTCGAAATGTAAATTATTCTCTCACGAAAATTGAAAGATAATTCAGAAAGCGTGGAAGAAACTGGCTAACTTTCATCTATAACACTTTTCCATACAAAAATTTCTATTTTGATATTAAAAATATTTACAAGATTTGCAAAATTATAATTTTTAAATTTGGAATTTAATATTTGCATAATAATTTTCTATTTCTTAATTTTCACAAAGGAAAGTAGAACTGAATAACAAACATTGTGCAATAGATTACCAATATATTATTATTATTATTATTTCGTAGAATTATAATTTTATTCTAGCAATGCAATTTTACATTTTCTATTTTAATATTTTTATATATAGAGATGAAAAATTAATTTGTAAAATCGTAAAGTGGAAGATGGATATTTTGATTATTCATTATTTGGTTGTATAATGTCATTATGATGGATTTAGTAACGGAAGCAGGAACGAATTCGAGATTTGACAATCTCTGAAACTTTATCGGAATATTCGTGATCGAATGTTCAACGTGAACGCGTGAACACTTTTCACGATCTTGTATGCCGTGTGTTAATTCGATGCGAGCATTTTCAGAGCCCTCGCAAGAGCCATAGACCTATTTCAAATTCTATGGCGAAGTAAATCCGCGTATACGTTTGCGCAATTGAGTAATTCCCACTGATGCTTCCAACTTTTGCTCGTGGTATGGAATAAATTCTATGGAGCCATTTACAGTAATTTGGAGAGAAAAGTTAAAGGCCGAAACTTTTGTACGGAAATATTATTCACGGTGGGATTCGCGAATCGTAATATTTAGAGGTGATAATAAGGGAAATGTGCGTGGTTATTATGTTTGGCTATATAGCAGTACAGCTTCCCGTAACCATAAACCAGTTTAAACATAAAACTTCGAAAAACTAACGACATAATCATCCTGATAAACCTAACCTAACCTAACCAGTCGCAGTTTATTTTTATCCTTATTTTCCGTCTTCTTAGGAGTTTTCACTTCACTTCAGCCTCGTAGACCTTGATTAAAACTTTTATTTCTCTCTCTGTAAATTGGATTTCGATTTTTAATTACGTTTATCTTCTTTATATTCGGTTGGGTATAATTTAGTTAACATTTTATATCGCTGTCGATGGAATTGTGAGATTGAAAGAGAGAGTATTATAATATTATTAACTAATTTGTAAATATATGCAAAATTGAATAATAATTCAATATGTAAAAGTAGATGTATATATATTGTCGAAGTACATTGATGTATGATAGTAAATAGTAGCTTAGAAAGTAAATGTTCGAGTTCGTCATCACGGACGCCATTTTAGTGGACGGAACTCGCAAGCGCCACTAGGTAGCCGCGAGAGCATTCGGAACTACGCGACAGCGTTTAAGCCAATCAATCGTGAGATATTTATTCACACAGATATAATTGCTCACTTATCTACAGAATTTTTAATTTTTTAATATCTTTCGACGCAACCACGAGAGCTACAAGATAGTAAAATTTGAATATAGAGATATCTCTGACGATGAAGCATTTATTCGAACAAAATATTTCGTTGAATCTAATAATTTCAGTAATTTTAACAATTCATTATTAATAGTAATTCCAGAACCCAATAATTCTGTCTACTAATTTAGTGAAATTTTCTCTAGTAACTTTGCTAGAATTTGTCTGGTAACTTTATGCAATCTAGTTCATTAACTTCGTCAAATTTTGTCTAGTAACTTTGCGAAATTTTACCTAGTAACTCGGGAATAAATCCAACACCGTAGACCAGTGACATCTAAGAGAAATTGCAAATTTTGTCGCAACATGTTCCAGTGAGGGTGAACGACGCGCAGCTAGTGATGCTCTCGGAGAAAGCCCATCACGATCATTCGTTGACTGGATATTTGCACAAACGGACCGCGGACTCGGCCAAGTGGCAATTAAGATGGTTCGTTTTATACCAGGTGAGTGATACCTACGTTCTCGTGTTAATTAATTCGCCATTTTTAAATTACACCTCGAGCAGAAATCTCGCGAAATCGTTCCTTTCGGTTACTCCTTCGTTCCAGAGAAATTACCTGTGCTGAACCCGTATGCTCGCGCGTATAACAGGGGTTTGGGCAGGGTTTTCAATTAGCGGTTTTCGCGTGCTGAAAGAATCTTCAGCTTGGCACGAACTTTTCATGCAGGCTCGTTGTTACCAGCCGGCGCAAGGAATTAAAATTCATTTAACCCTTTGTCACGTCGACTCATAGGGAACCTTTGTTACTCTTAGATTTACATACGACCAGGGACGATATGAGGGTTATTGAAATGACCGGTTTATCGCGGGCATTTTTTTCATCTCAATTTTTGGCTCATTTGGTTGTATATGGAAATGAGAATATAGCAGAAAAATCAAATTGAAATGATCGTATGCGAGGCAGGATGCGAGTATTATCGATTTGGTAATATCGAACGTGCATGTAATGCAATGGATGTGTATGTAATGTGATGATAATATGATATAGATAATAATATTAGAGGTGGTACGATGAAAATTTTTGCCCGACAGGATGTAACAAAATTTTTCATTCTTGAAATTGAAATGATCGTATACGAGGTACGATGTGAGTATTGTCGATTTGATAATATCGAATGTGCATGTAATGCAATGAATGTGTATGTAATGTGATAATAAATATTGTGATAATAATATGATATAGATAATAATATTTGAAGTGGTACGATGAAAATTTTTGCTCGACAAGTTACAACCAAATTTTTCATCCCTCTTCTGTTGTAGGTGCCTCTGTGTGGCCCTATTCTTCGCTTCGTTAAAATGTGACGAAAAAAATATCCTTGCTTGAAGTTCCAACTTATACCATCGTACAAGTACTTTTACATCCACTCCATAGAAACTTTTTCACACGACCTCATGCAAATGACCTTTACGCGTCATCAGGCGAGCTCTTTTTCTCTCGCTTCGAAAAACAGTCGAAAGCCCTATGTTTCCTGCAACTTGCCTGAAACTTTCTCGAAAACACGCTGAAGCCGTACAGTGAAAAGTTCGTGAGAAGCTTGGTGCTTTGATTAACTCGCAGTCTTTTTGCGAGTTGTTGAAGAAAGTAAAAAGGTGCTTTCGTGGAACAGTTTTCACCTTCTGTTTTCCGCCCCACCTTGTACAGTAATTTATCAATCGTTAATAACACAGGATCGATGAGTTTCGAGTCGTAGGTTATGGACTCCACGCGAGGTTTCTAGAATTTTATAGTTTTGCAATTCTTTAGCAATGCAATTTTACTGTTTTGCAATTTTTCAGCATTGCAATTTTACTGTTTTGTAATTTTTTAACATTGCAATTTCAGAGCTTTGTAATTTTAGGTTATAGCAATTTGAAAATTTCGCAATTTCATAATATCAGAATTTTATTATTTCGAAATTTTGCAATTTTGCGATTTTTCAATTTTACAATATTATAGTTATATAACTTCCAATTTTATAAGTTCGCATTTTTGCACTATCGCGACATTTTAATTTTATAAAATTGCAACTTTGCCATTTCACAATTTTGTAATTTTGCAATTTCTCAATTTTATAATTTTGTAATTTTGCAATTTCTCAATTTTATAATTTTGTAATTTTGCAATTTCTCAATTTTATAATTTTGTAATTTTGCAATTTCTCAATTTTATAATTTTGTAATTTTGCAATTTCTCAATTTTATAATTTTGTAATTTCGCAATTTCTCAATTTTATAATTTTGTAATTTTGCAATTTCTCAATTTTATAATTGTGTAATTTCTCAATTTTATAATTTTGTAATTTCGCAATTTCTCAATTTTATAATTTTGTAATTTCGCAATTTCTCAATTTTATAATTTCGTAATTTTGCAGATTTGCGATTTTTCAATTTCACAAATTAGAAAATTCTACTTCTAATCTTAGCAATTCTGCAATTTTGAAAGTGTACAATTTTGCAATTTTACTTGCTTTATTATCAAATTTTTTTCTATTAGATATAACATTTTATTAATGGTTTGAATAAACTCGTACAAAAGGGCTCTAGTGTTCCATTATTATTTCGACTTCGCGTTTCGTTTTGTCACGATAATACCCTGTCGGGGAGAACGAATAGACTCTTAAAATACCAATTGTATTACGCGTGATCCGAGATCTCACGTTCTCATTGGCGCATTTGCAGTGTTGCCAACTATGAATCTCGATTTCAGCGAATTCGAAAAATTGCATTCAATTTCGTAGCCTTTCGATGTTGTTGTTTGAGAACCTAACTCGTTACTGGAGCGTAGAAACACCGTCAGGTCATTGTTTAAAGACTCGAGCTGAAACTAGGACAAAAGGGTGCAATGTAAATAAAATGTGAATGTTGAACGAAAAATTGATCGATATATTTATTTATTCAAATAATAAACTTAAAATTATGTTCAATATTATATTCCTTTATTATCCAAAGAATATGTCATTTCATATTTCTTAGCACAATATATCTAGAAATATATGAACATGATATTAGCACAAATATAAATCGAAACAGAAAATTTCCTTTTATAAAACTTAATTAACCAGAAAAAAGTGGTGTCTAAAGAATTTACGTATTTTATTTTTTATAATATAAAGTATAATATTATTTATAAAGAATATAATAGAATTTATATTAACTACCTTAATTTCCTTAATAATTTAATAATTAAATAAATTACATTTCCTGTATAATAATTACATCTTTATCAAAAATTTTCACGGTATAACACCATGTTTAATGAAACTATATCCAATTCTAATTTAAGATCGTTTCATTTTGCTTCAAATATATAATAACATATGAACGTATTTGTTACAGAATTTGCTCTTCTATTACGAAAACGAAAGCTGCTTAAGGCCCAGCGGCGTTGTTTTGTTGGAGGGTTGCTACTGCGATCGCCTCATCACCGCCAAAGGCAGAGAGCCGGATAAACAGGTAAGTGTATAGTGGTTTTAGCTCTCGAGTAGTGTCAACCCTGTATGCGCGGCAAGTTGCTCAGGGGTCGCTGCGCGAATAATTCCCCGATACGTAGAAAGTTAAACTCCACGATTGGGGATTTATGACGTGCTCAGTAGTCAATTTCACCTGACGTACTTATTGACAGAACTTTGGAATCTTCATTACCAACGTTTTAATACATTATCTTCTCGTTTCACCCAAAACGAAAGAAGGATGAAATTTTCATAAACACAATCATAATATTAACTTCCATAAATCTAATCCTTACACGAAACGATAATTAATTAACAAGAATTTAGAACAATCTCAATTATCCAACCACGAGAAACAAAAAAGGGGGATTGTCATTTATGTTTAATTCCCCTTGTTCTCCATTTGCAAATAAATACACACTTCCCACGAAGTGGTTCGTGCACTTAACCCTTTATGGTACTTTTAAAACCAGCATAATAGACACGCAGAAATGTGGCAACGCAATCTCGAATAAACATATACATATAGCGTGAGGACATATTTGTACTCCATGTTTCGATTCATATTTTTTCGTTCCAAAGCGTGTATCGTGTCAGAGGTAATTTCGTTTGGTCTTTCGAGGATAACCGGGGACCGGCTATCATTATCCTTTAAATCATCCGTTTCGTTGCACGCACGGCATCGGGGTCAAGTGTCACGCGAAACGTGCCACGTGTAAGCCGAGTATGCTTTCGGAAAAAGCCGCGGACACAGGCCCTGGAGCGCGACAGTCGCGTCCGTGGTCCTTTGTTCACGCGTTAACACGACCTCCCTCTCGATGTTCTTGCTTCCATGGACATGTGTACGCGGAGATGACGCGCCATCTGATGCAATTTTCGTGACCTCCGCGTAGTGCATCCGAAATCCGTCCATCGCGTGAAACATTCCCGAATATTTAATCTTCTTTATTCAACATTTCCTGCAAACAATGCTTTTCAGGAATACGATTCCTTTGTCGTCAGACAGGAACAATAAATACGTGGAATTTTATAATTAATTTATACATGATACGTAGAATCTGAATAACGTTGCACAACTTCGAGATGCGTTTAGAGGTTAGTTAGGCCAGCGATTCTCAACTTTCTTTGGGTGTTTTATTACTCGAATGGACAGATGAACTATTTTATGAGTAGTATCTATTTAATTATGCTTGATTTTTAAGTTTGGTTTGATTATAGCAGCTAAGAATGTTTGATGTATCGGTGGTACGAGGATTGTAGGTTAGGATCGTTGGGTCAAGCTGTTAAGTGAATAGTAAGTACTTAATTTGCTCGTCTTAATTTTCTGTACAATGGAGCATTGTGCAGTCTGATTGCAGTGGACCTGTCTAAAATTCAAAGCTCTTTCTCTCTTTTTCAAAAACTTGCTATGAGAATTCTTCTTTGTTACTTTTTTGAGGTTAGTATAGAATTTATTGGAATTAATAGGGTTTTTACCTTGACTGTACTGATTTATTAGTTTAATGTTACTGTATTATTAATTGCACTAATATTGTCATTTATACGAGACTCAGTGTACGTTAATATTTATCGATAATTTATATAAAATCAATTTTACAGAATTTTCAGAGTATTGCTTCTTAAGAGTGCATAAAATTCCATGATACTTTTAATGAACTCTTGTATATGAGAATTAGTATTGTCAGATATTGTCACAGCGTAATATCATGGCAGACTGTTATCGTGTCAAATTGTTTCAATCGTTGTAGTAACAATTACCTATATATTCTAATTTGAATTATTCTCTCCGAGTTCCATGAAATCCCATTTACCTCGTGTTTGTTTCAGATGGTGTTGTTATCGTAAAACACGGTGATGTTCATTAGATACTTGAAATTCAATATTGCGTGCATCACTATATCGCTATTTTGTCACATTGCTGTGCCATCAACAGCTTTATCCAAACAAGTATCAATGAACATTAACAAGTTCGTGTTTGTTCATTAACATAACAGCTTCGAAATGCAGATTTAACGAATGTAATTCGAGGAAAATTAAAAACAGATAGGAAGATCATAAAATATCGCTATATGAAATATGTGATTTTATAATTATGTTTGTAATTTTTTATTAATAATTCTTACATATAGCTAGCTAAAAATTTTGATAAAAATATATTGTTTTACTTATTAATTAACATCAAATTATATCTCAAATTTTATTCGGTATTAATACCAAGTCATGTATAAAAAATACGATTATTTTATTTACAAAATTTAGCGAAAGGGATTGAATTGTAATAAAGTAATTTCATTGGAAATCATTAGCGCTTTCAGATTTTATATTATGCAAAGTACGGATATTAACTTGTTTTATCAGTTTATGCATATTTAATGTCAGTTTACTCGTACCTCGTGAGCACGAATTTCAGCTTACATTTGGCGAAATTTTGCACTTGCTATTGTACTGTATGAAATCGTAATCAGAATTTAAATTTGTCTGGTTGAAGGGGATGTTGGGAAACTTTTCACCTTTATTGTTGTGATGTTAATACAAACTGAGCTTACGACATGGTTAGTACAAAAACTATAGTTTGCATCTAAAGCGATAATAATATATTTTGACAGAGTTTTAACGTTTCTTCCCTCAAATCCATCCAAACATAATTGAATTTACGATACTACTTCTCGTTGAATATCTCAGGAATATCGTTGAAAGTTACTGGATAAATTAAAGGAACTAGGATCTAGGGACTTTATTATTCCCGGTGTATTATGCAAATTAATTCAAATTGTTTTTAAGTACTGAATCATTTTGTTAGGTGTAATTTGTTAAACAATATCCTGTATCGATGTTAGATAAATCAAGATCATTTTTCTTTCTTATTACAGTGACGAACCCTACTTAACGTAACCTAACCTGTACAAGAAATGATTCAACAGATTTATATTAAAAACGTAGAAGCCTTATCCAACGTTCTTTTAATAGCATATGCTTTTATTGGTTTATTTCTTAAAAGGGTATCTTCTTTTGTTTGCCTTTCATCGACAATAACAGCATATTTTCTTTTCTCGCTTTTCTTGCCTAATTTATAACCTATTTTTCTTCCTATAACAAGAACGGAATGACGCTATTGGAGGCATAGCCTTGACCGGTCAATATATTTAGCCTGTGCATTAGCGTTATATAAAGAAATTCGATTATTTTTTACTGATCGAATAAATTAAATATTAGCAACCATGTTGGAAACTATAACGTCATAGAGTATACATAAGATAGAATTATTTAACACAGGATTAACAATTTTACATAATTAATTAACGAAACCATGTTATTTTCAATTCAGTCCTAGGTATTTATTATATATATACACAGAGACAATTATAATATAAATAGACATTTATTTCACAATTTAACAAATTTTATATTTACAGAATACTAGCTATGACATACTATTTAACACAGAATTAACACTATTACATAATTAATTAACGAAACCATGTTATTTTCAATTCATTCCTAGGTATATATTTTATATTTATACAATATTAGCTATGACATACTATTTATGATTCACATAATCAAACGCGGAATAGTTACTTATATAATATATATATATTCAATTTAATATAATTATATAATATACGATATCGAGAAGTATAGTTCCGCCTATACACAATAGAAGGCGCTATGACTCCGTTAAGTAATCCAACAAATGAGTTTCCTTTCTATATTCTTATTATCTTCTCTTTCCTCTAATTAAACCTTCTGTCTTATACCTCACTCTACCATAACTGTTCATTTAAATACAAAATTATATCCATTTATATTTCGCTTATTACTAATATAAACCAGATTATACATATTATAACGAGCATAAAATATACAATTATTTGCATTATAGCAAATTTCGAGCAATCAATCAAATATTTATCGTACATCAAAATTCTTTTTACTTCCGTTATTTTTGTAGAAGAACACGTTCTAATACCATTTGCCAGAGAGCACGGAATTACGTGCTTGATAAAAGATACGACAAAATATGAAGGAAGATAACAGCGGCCATTTACGAATCGATGAAATAACTCGTGATTCCCTGACCGCCAAAACTATCGCCTCTGTCAGCGAAAAAATCGCGACAGCGGCAGAGGCCATTATTCATTTGGCCCTTTGTTCTGACATTACCACCACGCTAGTGCGAATGAAACGGTTATTGGCACGTTGGCGGAAACAAATAGCACCGCTGGATTATTTGCATATCACAGCAAGTGCTTTCCACCGGTCGTTTCCGCGTGCCTTGTTATTCGCAAAGTTACGTGGCGACTCGCGGAAAAAAATTGCTCGAAATTGATCGATGCGATTCGTTTTACGGGACTGCTTTGCATACCGTCTGCGTTTCAACCCATTGTGTTCACTCGAGGCGACAGTGGAACTTCGAACACGAATCAGTTCGGTTGCACGGAACAATGTAGCCACTGTTTCCATTGTGGGTCCGTAAGAAACGCAAAGGAATCCATTTGTTAGCCCCGTGGAGTTTCCTGAGGCAATGAATTCGGTTTCAATCCTTCCCTTAAAATTTTCCACTATAATACTCGCTTCGAAATATATAATTTTCTTTCTGGACGATAATCGAGTATCTTTGTTTCTTAATTTTGTGACGTTTCGATTAATTTAATTATTTGATCGCATTTTAAACATTTGGATAATCTGGATCATCTGAAACTATCTTTAGATACGTTGGGTTTCTAAGTTTAGTTTGTCAGTGATAGAAGTGTGCAATATATCTGCAGCAGAGTTGCCACGAATACTGTACAGAGAGAAATCGATATCTCGAAGAGGAAATTTCATTCACTCTGTATCTGCAACTTCAAATCTTCCAGTTCAGTGGTTTAGGAGTGGATAACTACGAAATCATTTTGCGAAGGTTCATTAAGCAATGAATTTCTTTCGAATCTTTCTTTGTCGTGAATTTAATCACGCAGGAAATTTCTTTTAGTAAAGACACTGTTACTCGGTCGCGACATC